TTTTTTTTTTTTTTTTCTTCCTTTTTTTTCCTCCTCGTACCTGTACTGCCTAAGCTTACGGTTGGAAAGCTCGAGAGAACTCGTTGAAGAGCTTGCACGCGTTATTCTTCTCTAACGAAGGTATATGCGGGATACGTTCCGTGCGTAAGAATGATGAAAAAAAAAGAAGAAGAAAAAAAAATGTAGTAATAATAATAAAAAGTATGAGAAAGAAAGAAAAGGATAGAAAAAAATATAATATAATAACGTTATAAGTACGCAAAAAACGCGGGAAAATTCGCTTAAGTTAATTTTTTTTATTTCGCATACAACGTAAGATATTAAATATTCTTAAGGATAAATATTTTAATCGCGTTACTTTTTTTTCTTTTTTTTTTAAGTAAAAAAAAAGTACAATTTTTTTATCGGATTTTAATCGTACGTTCACATTTTATCGATTAATTTCATTAACCTGCTGATTCCTTAAATGAAATATTCAAATTTGATTACACGCGTATATGCATTTATGCGAAAACAAACAAAAAAATGGGGTATAATTATTTCGAAAAATGAATTGACTCGTTTTAAGTTTTAATTATTTGCTTGTCGATATAATATAAAACGAAAAAAAGTAAGACTCGGCAAGGTCTCAATTTTAATGGCATTCAAGAACAATAGAATTATGAGAATAATACTGGGGGTTCGGTTTGGTGGGTCAAAAGAAGATGATACAAGGAGGATATAACGTGGGGGAAGGGGAAAAAGCGTTTAAATCCGATTTTACTGCTTGACATGCTCCGAGCGTTTTGTTCGAAACTTCGTATCGAATATTCTTTTTTCTTTTTTGTTGCTTTTGTTTTTTTTTTTTTTGTTTTGTTTTGTTTTGTTTCTTTTAGTTTAATTTTTATTTGTCACATGCACCTAGTGTTCGATAGAACTCTCACATATATATAATAATAATAATAATTTATAGATTAATTTTTTCGTTTAACATTTAAACAATTTTAATTAACGTTTAATAATAATCACAAAAAGAAAAAAACACCCCAACAAAATCATAATCATAATAATAATAATAATCATTAATCATATCATTCGTTGTTTTATAATATTTGTCATTATTATGAGAACTATGAGAATAAAATGATGAATAATAATAATAATAATTAAAAAATTGTAATTAACGTTTAATAATAATCACAAAAAGAAAAAAACACCCCAACAAAATAATAATCATAATAATAATAATAATCATTAATCATATCATTCGTTGTTTTATAATATTTGTCATTATTATGAGAACTATGAGAATAAAAAGATGAATAATAATAATAATAATTAAAAAATTGTAATAAACGTTTAATAATAATCACAAATAATAATCATAATAATAATAATAATCATTAATCATATCATTCGTTGTTTTATAATATTTGTCATTATTATGAGAACTATGAGAATAAAAATATGAATAATAATAATAATAATAATAATAATAAGAAAATTGTTAATTTAATAAATAATACTCACGTGTTCTCCTTTTGATCATTGTTGTTACTCGAGTGCGATGCAAGCGAGGGTTGAGTTTGTTGTTTCGAATATGGATGATGATGGTGTACGACGTTGTTGTTGTTATGCATGTGAACCTTATTAGCGTTGCTGTCGGTGGGCGAACTCGGCGAAATTTTTCCCGCCAGGGCGTTCAGTGATTGAAGCATTTTCATTGGTGCTCTCCTTGAAACCAGCTCTCCTCTGTCCCTCCTTCTCTCCTCCTCGTTTATCCTTAAGGAAGACAGGATTACTGTCTTTTACGGTTTGAAGGTTTGCAACCCCCAAACCTTGCTAATTAAGATTCACGAATCGATACGATCAAGAACGACGACGATCCTTTTACACGGTATACGTACACACATATATATTTATATATATATATATGTATATGTGTGTGCATGTGAATATATGTTAAATTAATGTACGTGTACTTTTATCGATGTGACCAACAACAAAAAAAAACACACGATGCAGGATATATATGCACGACACTCGATTGATTTTCCGCACACTCGCGAACAATATTTTTTATTTTTCTCTCTCTTTTTTATTTATATTTTTTTTTGTTCTCTCTCCCACGATCTCCTACGTTTAATTGTTTTTCCTTTCCTTTATTTTTATTTTTATTTTTTGCTTTTCTTTTCCTTATATATATATATCTGTGTTTTATTTATTTATTTATTTTTTTTTTTTTTCGTTTGTTAATTAGTATATATATATATATATATATATATATTTGTCGAGGAGAATTTTATATCCGCAATTCTAATCCAGCTCTTCTAGAAACGTTCTCGTCTCAACCGAGAAGATATAGCACGGCCGAAGGCACTGGAACTTCTGTGAAGTAAAATTCGAATAGGATGACGTTAGCGAGAGAGACAGAAAGTAAAGATGCTCAAGGAAGATATTACGATCCTAATATTTATTTATATTTTTATTATTCGTTTTATATATATATATATTACGAAAAAACTGTGTCAAATCGTCGTATTTCGTTTCTTTTCTTTCGTATATGTGTTTTTAATCTAAATTATAT